CCCCCGACAGCATCTTCCCGAAGGAGAGGGAGCTGCCTGCGAGCCCGGCGCTGTACAGGCAGGAGCGGACGGATTCCAGCGTGTCGTAGATACTGGGGTCTTTCACCACGATCCCTGGGGGGGAAGGGGGGTGCAAGGGGTGTTAGAACAGGCCTGGCCAGGAGTGCCCTGGGCACCGGATCGCACAGGGCAGCGCCCAGCCCCGGGCCCCCTCCAGCAGCCGGGCGAGGGCTTCAGGGCATCAGCCAGCAGGCTAATCCTCTGCTCAGCTGGGCTCAGCAGTTTCCATCTGGTCCCACTTAGCCAGCCATCTGGAAGGGCAGGCTGGGCGTGCTCCCGCCCCCTCCCAGCAGGGGGAGGTTGCTACCCCGCTCCCACTGCCTTTCCCTCCCCAGGCTAAGCATGCACCCCCTCCCCGCGCCCCCACTCACCACGCACCAGCCTCTGCTCCTGCACCATCAGCGAGCGATACTCCCCCCACTTCTCATACAGGGTTTGCTGCAAGACAGACAGGCCAGTTAGAGCTGCCGGGCGGGCGGGGACCTGGCTGGGGCAGGCACTCGGTCACAGCCTCACCTTTAGGTACTGCAGCCGGGCCTCCAGCTCCGCTCTCCGGATGGACGTCCCGTACAGCGTCTCCAGTCTGCAAGAAAGGAGCCTCTAGTAACGACCAACCAACTCCCAGCCCCCCTCCCAGTGCCCAGAGAAAGGGGATCCCCAGCTGGCCTGCCCCCCCCAAGCAAAGGGGCACTGGGGGTCTTCCCTGGAGCTCTCTGGAGTTCAATCCAGCAAGGAAATGCTCAGGTGAGCTCTCCAGATCCCTTCGTTCACTTCCTGGAGGGAGGTGCCTGGTGCCGACAGCAGAGGGGAAGGAGACGTCTCGGGGCGATGGGATCGGAGCCGGAGCCGGCTCCTTTGCAGCCAGGAAGAGCATATCCCCAGCCGGGCCACTCAGCAGGAGATGCCCTAAGAGCAACGTGCCAGGCTCCGGGGGCCAGGCCGCACCGGTGCAGGGCAGGGGATAGTTCCAGGGACGCGGGTTCCCATGAGCGCTGGTTGCTCCTGCAGACCCCGCTGCCAGGACACGCCAACCAGTCTCGGAGCACTGGGGCAGCTGGTCGCCACCTCCCGCACAGAGGCTGCCTCCCGGCCCTGGCTCTCCTGCAAGCATCTCACCTGAGCACGTTCCCAGAGGCCTTGATGATCTCCACGATCTCCCGGTGCCGGATGCCCTCCACGTTCAGCCCGTTCACTGCTGTGATGGTGTCTCCTGGGAGGCACACGGGGCACTTAAAGCCAGCGCCAGAGCGCCCCACCCTCAGCTCAGTGCCTGGGCAGAGGACTTACTGACACAGCCGCCCACCTCCCCAGCCCCCGAGATTCCAGCGCTAACCCTGCACTCTGCTTGAGCCTTTCCCCAGTTAAGCTCAGAGGCACAAATGGAAAACCCCCTGGAGTCCAGCCTCCACAGCTCTAACCACTAGACCTCCCCCCCAGCCTCTCTCCAGGGCCAGGACCAGTCCCCAGGAAGCCCGATTCTGGCTGGAAGCCAGGACGGCAGAGCGCATCCCAAGTAGCAGCCCATGGCAGAGCTCAGCGCTACCCCACACTCCAGCAAAGTTTGGAGAGTCACTTCCTGTGCCGGGCAGCACAGCCTCCCGTCGCGGTTCGTGCTGGGACATAAGGCAGGCGATGCTGCCTGCATGGCCGGGCCACGCCAGGGCTGCGGTCAGCCAGGGGCGATTACGAAGGGCAGTGCTTGGGACTCACCCCCACCCTGCGCCCGAGACCAGTCTGCTCCCGGGGACCCGGAAGCCCAGGCTCACATTCCAACAGTGCAAGACACAGAAGAGGCAGAAGAGCCGGCACCCAGACGCTGCCTTTTCCTGAGCCATTTCTCAGCTCTCCTGCTGGGCTACTCCCAGCTCCGTCTGCCTCGGTTCCATTTCCCTTTACCTCCAGGTTTGCCCCTGGTAGCCAAGACGCCTGGGTCCCCCCATCCCCTGGATGCTTCGGTCTTACCCTGGCTCTGACAGGGCCCCCTCCACCCCACTTCCATGCCTCGCCCTGGTGGGCGAGACGGGAGCGGAGTTTAGGGGAGCAGCCGCCAGGCACTTACCCAGTTTGAGCCCCGCTAACTGGGCTGGGCTCCCCTCGTGGACCCGGCACACGAAGGTGAACATTTCCACGCTGTTCTTGTCCTGGTGGTGGAGTCCATAGGTCTGGAATAAGCAGCTGGGGTCAGTGGGAAGGCTAGACTGGCTAGCTGCACAGAGAGCCTCCAGCAGCTCCGGCCACCCCAAAACAGCTGCCCCCCCCGCCC